GAACAGAAGTTGAGAAGAATTATTTTATTTGTATGATACAGTAGATACTTGCCGTTAAGAATTCAGTGAGAGACAAGAACGTTTTCTCCAGGCAACAAATACTATTACTATTTTTTGCTTACAAATACTACTCCAATACAAATACTATTTTTTGCTTATTGCAAAAGGAAGTATAACTATTCTCAACCATTCACCATATGTGTCATCTGCGGATTGCTTTATGTTCCTTAAAATGAAAAATCACCTTCAAGGACACTCTTTTGAAAGCGTTTTAGAAGTTTAGGAAATCGTTCGCTCTTATAATGTCATAATATATAGAGAAAACGAGACCCTAATAAAGATGCTTTCTTCACGTTTTGAGCTTCCATGATTGAACGCCAAAACTTTGCAAACATATAACGTCGTTATTTCCATTCTTATGGAATAATATATCACAACCGTCAGAATTTGTACGGCATTTGTAATCTACTTTTTTCAGGCTTGCTTTGTTTCTTCAGGTTTCAGAGCCATGCGCATTGCAGCAGTCGAAAGAGAACATAACTGTTGCAATTGATGACATTAGACGCAGTTGAAAATTTATGTGTTTGGAAAACTGAAGGCCTGGATGCCAGTTGTCTGCTGGAAAGAAGCTGTCTTTTTTATTTATTGTAATACGATACCTTAGACATCTGCTAAGATATTTACTGCTACCACCAAGTTATTTTATCCTTTGTGTTATGTCCATGTCAAAACCAATAGCTCGAAGACTCTTAGGAAAGATATACCTTTAATATTTACTAAAAGATGTCTAAATTGCTAAAGATATTTACTAAAAGATAATGGAATAAGTGATCTACTCGTTATATTTCTTCTAATACATCTTTAATATTACCTGTCAGCTACATCAGAATTGAAAGGCAACAATAGTAATAAATTTCCGCAACAATTTGCTGACAAATTTATCCTATGTATATTGTCTCAGACTTTGCAGTTTCACAACATCTCTTTAATTTAGATATCATAGATATTCAAAAACGAAATGTGAAAATTATTGAGCTTCACAGTAAAGGGATGTTTGAGATAGAGGTTTTCATCATAATTTCTCTATATATGAGTAATTCACCTCTATGTCAATTCTGTTGTCGTTCTCATTGTCGTTTTGCTGTGCAGTTTGTTTACAGTCACCTTACAAAATTATTTGTCTTGAGTCTCAAGCCACTACCAGCCATCTCAGAGACATCATCGTTCGTGTTATAGTAACGCATTCAAAGGATATTCTTCATAACTGATGGGTCCAGATATGGGAAATAACGTAGATGGGGAAGTGATGTGAAGCCACAATCCACCAGAACAATTTGCATGGCAGGATGAAGAAGAAAACGTTTCTAGATACATAAATGCTCCTTTCTCAATTTTCCCCGGCCTCTTTGTTTCTATCATCTGCCTTTCTAATATATCAGAAATCTAATATACCAGTCTTCTTTGTATACCAGATTAAAATGATATTCCCGTTTGATAATGAAGCCTTTCATCACAAAATCAGTCGAAATTAATCCTTCTTTTTCTCCCTTTTGTACTCAGAATTTAAGTTCTCTTTTGTTCTAGATTAAAATTTCTGGAGATCAGTCGAGCCGACCCTTGTGCAAGGACAATTTTTGAGTCACAGTTTTTGCTTTACACGTTTGGTCGAAATCTGCAGTTACTGAAAGTACTCACGGGTTCATCTAAAATCTTTCGCATCCACTTTTGAAGTCGGCGACCTACGGTTTAGCAGTTGCCAAATATTCTGCCTCATTTCCAAACATCTATATCATGTCCTGGTGAATTTATGTTTCAGTGACCCCTTTTTGAAAGATGTACCGAATCATTGCTTTGTCAACCGTTCTTTTATCTAATATTTTATTCATTTTCCACTTAAAAAGAATATAAAGAAGACAACACGTCATTTTCATTACATTTCACGCAATGTGTTACAAACCACCAATCTAAAATCCAACAATTTATTAACAACTTGCGCCATTTCTTTCCTATGAAGCTCAGAACTTTTCACGTTTTCTTCGATGGCAGCAAAAATACATTTTATTCTTCACAAGTATTAAGAATAATGTAACAGATAATACTCAAAGATTTTATTTCATGGCGCTTTAAATAAAATCCCAGTTCTAAGAACAATGAATAACTTCATGTTTTCATGCAAATTTATTAAACTACACAGCTTATTTTGCAGTAATATGTAAAAAAAAGTATATGTTTCCATCCGAAACTCAAACTTTTAAGTCTTTATAGCAACCAGAGCAGATTTGAATAGTTTCATTCATTACTTTGGGGCATCCAGCTATAACAGTGCCCCAGTTGTGCTATTACGGGTTTTAAAATTTGTCCTTATCTAATGGACATTTTGACAGTCCATTAGATAAGCATAATTTTGAGAAGATTAGCATTACAGCGAAAATGAAACTGGGCATCTTAAAAAGAGACAAGAAAAAAGGAGAAAACGTTAATAAATTAACATGGATTTAGGTGCTAGATGAACTACTACAAAAAGATGGAAAAGGAAAATGTCCCAAATCGAGTCTTAGAGTGCGGAAAGAGTAAATCCTGATAGTTTAAAGGAAAGGAAATATATGAAAGGTGGCGAATGCGATAGAGTGAATGAGACATTTTATTTCTAGTTCAAACAGCAAAGGGTGAAAGTAACACCCATTTCAAGACACATTTTGCAAGAGAAAGCTCTTAAATTACATGAGGAATTTCAAGAAGAGTCCAAACTCACTGCTACTTTTGTCTGACTTGACATGTAGAAGAAGCTCTAGAGTATAAAACAAGTAAACTTTTGTGGGGAAAGACTATACACTAATTTGAAAAATGTTAATAAATTTAATCATCTTTCCATAGATTAACTGGAATGGAGGGTCACAAGTTTACAACTGTGGTATGCCTGATCTGAAATTTCAAATATTGCCTTTGAAAACGCTCGCATTCAATGAAGAAAAATCTGGTCAAGCTGTGAAAGAAGTAAAGAAAGAATCTCAATTGTAGCATGCAGCAACGTAACAGAAATTCATAAGCTCAGATTAGCGTTTATAAAGAAATGGGGAAAAAATCTCCAGAAGTTTTAAAACGTAAAATAAGCAGTAAGCAGTCTGATACTTTCAACAATCAATCTGTTTGGCACAGTCAATTCAGAGAGAATACCAGTAAATGGATGAATGTGGCCAGTAACTACTGATTACTGATTTTATCAGTAGTTACTGGTTACTTTGATAGAAAATTTTCTAAATCAAAAAGAAAGCATTTCTTATTCTCGATAGTGCGTCAGTCCATCCTGATCCGACATAGTTGCGGGACGAATGCTACAAGATCTATATTTCTTCTCCCTTTCAATTTGAAAGCATTGAAGAAAGAATGCAGTTGTAAACTTCTATCATCTCTGCCGCTCAGATGTTATAGTGGCTAGGAGAGCCTGACTGCGATACCGAAAGGCCTGGGTTCGAATCTCGGAGAAGGCATGGTTGTATCTGTCCGCCCCTTCATAGGAGGCAATGGTGACCCACCTATTAAGTGCCTCCATAATAAAGACATAGAATATTAGTATCACTACATAGAATATTAGTATAGATTAATGGACTCTGTTACAAAATTGTAACTGTTCACAATCTGCCATTGAAAAAAAAAGTTCTTTCATCTCTTGTCTTAGGCATAAAGGAAGGGTGTGATATGAAAAAAGAACTAAAGAAAATAGACGTGTTGGACTCGTGGGGCGAATATATGAATTTTCTCATGAAACCAAGCCTATCAGCCATCATGAGTTGCTGGAGAAAAATGCGGGGCCATTTAAGAAAGAAGAGAAGAGGTAGAAGATGAGGAAATAGTGTATTTATCTAACAAAATTCAAAGTTGCGAATAAGTACTGATGGTAATGGTAGGGAATGGATCTAGCAGAATGCAAAATGTGAACGTGTAGAAAATAAGAAAAAAAAATTGTTTCAGATAAATACAACAAGGATATAACTGAACGTAAATCAAATTATGAAGAGGTAGGAAAAGCTGAAGTGCATGAAGACGAAATGAATTACAGAGAGGCAGTTTAGAATCACTAGAAATTTTTTACTATGTATTCCCAGGCATTTCTTTACTTTTGTGTCTATGATTTGTTTTTAACTTTTAACAGTTATTTTAGATATGCTGAACTTTTCCATGTATTGTAATAGAACCTTCATGAGAGTAATATACGGTAAAATATTATGATTTGTGATTAATCTAACCTACCATTCCGTAAAATTTAATATTTTCGGTAACTTGCCATCCTCTCAATTGGCAATTATGCCGAGTTTGCGAGAATTTACTGTACTATTTCTTTCGAAAAAAATCGTTATAAAACACCTCCTGTATCCAACACTTTCGCTCACCAGACCTCCGATATGTGAAGGATGTAAAATCAGCATTGCAAGATCTTTTTTACTCTGAATGAAAAGAGCGTTGTCGGCGTGGAAGAAATTTACCACCAGAGATATGGCAAGATGCCAAACAAAATGAAGTAAACATATTAAATCCAAGATAGATTAGTTTTCGTGTTCTTTATTTTCTCTTCCCATTTAAAAAATGTCTGTGCTCTGAAATCCGTAAATTCTCTTAAAATATTTATGCTACTGTCTCAAGAATGATGTTCCATTTATTAAGTTTATAAAAAGTTCTCTTTTAAAAAAACGCGTTGAGATGCTTAAAATGTACTTTTAGTAAAAGAAGACAGATAATAAGGGCAATTAAATATTGATCACTAAAGCGCAGTTACTCAAATCCATCACCACTGTGTACATATATAAACATAAAAGTTTGTCCCGATACTAAAACGCCCTTTATATTCTTCGACGGCGAAGAAACCGAAAACGAGAAAGAAAGTAAAAGTGTGTCAAAATGTTTTCTATACTCCACCTTTTTTTTCTCTTCTCGCACTTGGATGGGCAGCGGCAAAGAGGGAGAATAATGTTATGTCATGAGCCACAGTCGTAGTTCTGAAGCATTTTAGGTTACGTCACTCGTATTGAATTGCAACCGGTCTGATGAAGAATAAAATGGACAAGCAGTTTTCTTTTTCTTCTTGCTTCTTTTATATTTACGTTTCGCTCTTTCATTTTTTATTTTCTGGTTGAGGTCTTAAGAGGTGAAGAGGAGAAAGTGAATTCCGCAGATTTGAATCTTGTTCCGGCGGGGAATCGGAAGAAAAACTTTTCCTCGGAGAAAGCCCGCGTGTAATTGTCGACGTCTAAACATAATTTTGTTAGAGAAAATGAGATATCTTGCCGGCACTTTTGTTTTTATTGCAATATTTGCATATGTTAGTACTTTGTGCATTAAAAATGATACAAACAACATTTGTCACCATCTTCGGAAAAGAAGCTTGAGTAAGTTTTTCTTTGTTTATATTCAATCTAATTTGTTTAAAGCTTTTAAAACAAATTTCCTTCGTTAATATTGCTTAGTGCTATATATTTTGCAATAAGACATAAATAATTATCGTGGAAATATTACGTATTACCATTTCCTTGTTAAAAATAATCGAAATTTCTAGAGATATGTAATTCCTTATCAGATATTTCTTGTTTTTGATCCGTTTCTGAATGCTTCTTTATAGAAACCAAAAATGTTAAAATGAATTAGATAAGATATGAAAAATTAAAGAACTCGGTACTTTGATACTTTACGAAAGTGCATCGTTTCGTGAAGAAAACTCATGAAAGTAAACAAGATTTCCATTAAAGAGAAGTGTGTTAAATGCTTTCCTTTAAAAAAAAAGATGAATTAATACAATGAATTAAAAAATGAAGGGCTTTTTCTCTCTAAGCCTCATTATATCATTCTAGCAAGAATGAATAATGAGGTGTAGAGAGGGGTTAGGCAAAAATGTAATCAAAGTTAAAATTTTAGCAAACTTGCTTTACTTTCTTTCTATGATTCTCAAGAATGTTCATATTAAAATAATCGACAACCCATTAAATGTTTTATATAATAATGGTAAAAATGAATTTTAATCGTTTTCTTTCTGGCCAGCTGCGAGAAACTTTTAAATAAAAGAATCTTTTATTCATTTATTTTTTTAAAATCAAAGTATTCTTATTATTCTCAGTATCACCATAGTCTTACTCTATTTCCCCTTCTCTTTTTTTTTTTTTTTTTTTTGTTTGTTTGTTTGCGTTGAACTAAGCATTTTTCAGTTTTATCTTAGAAATTTTATGATTGCTCTAGAATAATAATATGAACTTAGAGAACACAATTAGGATAGCTTTACCGGGTTAATATGCTTCTATTTCTTTTTTGAGCTCAAATTTTGAACTCCGAAGTTTTCAGCTGGGATAACATCCTTTGGATTAATTGAGCATAATTTAATAATGATTTCTCCACTAAAATATTTGGTCAGCTAAATATGAAGTATTTTATGTTATTTTAATATTGCCTAATTTTTTTTCTGATATGTATATTTAAAGTTGTCATTTTTTACAAGTATGAAATAAAATTGTTGTATACTCTTTTATATTTCTGTACTTTTGCTTTAAATAAGAGATTTAGCATTTCTATTTCCGAATTATACAGACCCGAGCCATATGGAGATTTAATTGGAAGAGAAACATGCCAATGTAATATTTAAAACCGGGCAAAAAGACAACCTTTAGATTTGGAACAAATCTCTAAAGATTTAGTAAGCTATTAAACATAGCTCAGTACTTTAGTTCTTCTCTAAAATACTAGCTGCTTGCGTAGACTAGATGCATGCCAGTATAGATTTTAAAACTAGACAAAAAAATGAAATCTTTGATTTTTACTAAAATTTAGATAATTTCGAGAGTTATCATACAGTTTGGTTTACGATACCATCGAAATCGATGGAGTTTTGTTCAAAAACCTACGCCAATCTGTTTTTCTGCCTAATTTTTAAACATGAGTTTCCTTTCATTTTTAATAATATAGGAGCAAAGCAATGCTCAATCAATAGAATACTATATGATAGTCTTCTGTAATTATACATTCTAATTTATTTTATCCAATTTCAAAAATTTGTAAATGTGGTTCTGTGGGTGTTAAAAATATATTTTATTAAAAAATATTAAAATATTAAAAAAAGAAAAAAAAGGGATTTTTAAGGGTAATTATTAAATGCTTGGATAATTCTAAACATTATCAGAACAATTCACTGGTTACAAATATTGAATAATCTGGAATGTTCTGCGTCTTTTTTTATAATTATAAAGCAATACAAAAACATAAAAATATTTCATGGAATGGCATTAACACCTTTTTGTTCGATGATTAATTTTCCATCTCTCTAGGATATTTTTAAAATTTACTTTTTAAAAAAAGCTCATTAGATTTACTCATAAAAACGTTATTAAAGCGCTGTTTGACAGTCACTAAAGACATCAAACCCAAGCTATTCAAAGAATTTTGAAATGAACTGAAGACATTAAAATTTAAAGACGCAAGATCTGGAGAATATGGAACATAACACGAAACATCCACCCATGTTCAGTAGAGTCAAGCAATATGATAATGGAAGACAAAACCTCGACAATTAGACAGTTACAGTTCTGGGAGCTTTGCTTCAATATCTACTTTTAAAACTGCCATTTGAGAACAGTATTTTTCGAAATTTATAATATGATTTGGTGACAAAAATTCATAGTATACAATTCATTTGTAATCTCACCGCATAAAACGTCCCTTTCGATGTTACTAAAGAAGATTAATTTGACTTTCTCCGTGATCTTTTTCTTGTAATGTTATTCCATTATTCCATTGTATCCATTTCTCATCTCTAGTAATGATCCGTTTCAAAAAACGGAGTTTTGTGTTTTTTTCCAGCAAATAGTCCCGTCCGAATCTTGAGCAAGCATGTTCTGCTCTTTTAAAGAATAGAGTACCCATACATCAAATGAACTTACATACCAAATTTTTAAATGGTAATGTACTGTATTTTTTTAGACTAAGTATTCTATCTGATAGTTTCTGAGCTGTGTCATTTTCAGTGACAGCTTCTTTTAATAGGTTCTTCTTTATTTAATGGTCGTCCAGAACGAGCTTCATCTTGAAGGATGAAATTTCTGTGCTTAAACTTCTCAAACCACCTTTGAACTGTGTTATCAGGAACTGGACTTCGTTCATATATAGTGCAATTGTTACAAGCAGTCTGACTAGCTGCATAATCTCGCAATAAAAGGATTTCTGAGTTCTCTAATCTTAGCCATACACTGAAACAAAAATTATGCTACAATACATGCTGGAATTAAACAATGAGTGCAGAAAAAACTATGTTAAAACATTTGCTCCGATTAAGGTCCCTCGTTATCAGCAGTAACAAAATAATTATAAGAAAATGCACATCGATTTGAAAAACCGCAGAACTTTCCGGATGACCCAATGCAAGATTTATGGATAAAGCGAAAACAAATTACAATTTTTTATGTCTTATTTATTATGCGTTGGACTCTCAGTGCCGGGAAGTTGCGTTGGACACATAATGCAGGGGTTCCTAACCCGCGGGCAGCATGGCGATCGCCGATCGTTTAATGTGTGCCTGCCGCTGTGCGATCACAATAAAAATGTTTTAAATGTTTTAGTTTTCAATAAAATTATATGTAAAAGTTTTCTCATTTTTAATAAAATAGAAATTCCTTACAACGCGTATACGAGCACAAAGCGAAATACAACAGATTTCGTTTTTTATGTGCTTGTATGTGCTCCATCCAACTATAAATTCACGTTGAAGACGTAAATGGCGCTCGCCGTCCAACAGATATTCTAGAATGCGCTGTGAGGGACAAAAAGGCTGAGGATCTCTGCCTTAATGTGATTACCCATGATAAATGTCACTTAAGTGAGTTTCTTTTAAGCTTTAAAACTTTATGGGGAAAATGATTAATAGAATGTTTATTGACTGCTGTTAATCTAATCAATCGGAGGCATTCAGTGCTGTTTATAATGTAAATTAAGGCAAATTTCTCATAATTAACTAAATATTTAGGTGTACCAGCTAAGATCTTGAATACCAGCAAATTACCATTGATCGAAAGTCTTATTTGTAGCATAAATTGTTTGTTAACAGGTATTATTAGATGAAAATTTCGTATAATAAAGAAATTTACATAAAAAAGGAAAGATATTACAAAGAAAATGAGTAACAGAAAATACTTTTATACTTAATATATTTGATGTATCATGTATATATTGCAGTGCTTGATAGATAATTCCTATATCTTTGCACATACATTGTTGACAAATGTGACACAGAATACTTTGAACTTTGTACTTATTTTTTATTTCAGATATTAAAATATTTCAATAGGTTTGTGTTTATTTAATGAGAACAAAAGCTAAAGTAAACATCTTACACACTTATTCACGGTTATCAAAATTATCCTTATGCTTTTATATATTTCTAGAATAGATAAACAAACGTCTGTAAATTTATCGCATTCTCGGAAGGTTAAAAAGAAAGGTCTAAATCAAAAGATTCTACGGGGGAAAAAATTAAAGCTCAGCCTTGCAACTGTAAGCATTCTTCGAGGACCAGTTATATATGCTGAGTTCATGGGGAAAATTCTGAACAAACAGCTTCAACAAAATTAACAAACATCAAAAATTAAATGAATTTACCAAAACTAGTAATCAACTGCTTTAAAATTAGGTAAGGAAACAGCTTTATTTTTGCGTAGATTTTGAGGGGGTCAGAACACAGGTCCCTCTTCTTCACAAGCAAAAATCATTTTTACTGTAACTTTGTTTTGCAACTGAGTGTTCAAGCGATTTAAAATTTATTTATTCCTAATTCTTTCTAAATAATCTATTGTAAGACTAAAAACCTTCGTACCAGGTAAAATCAGCGTAAATTAAAATAAAACTAAAAACTGTCGGTATTTGAATGTGAAACTTAAGGAGTAATATGAAGATTAAAGATTTGCTTTTAACTTGTTGTGCATGTAGTTTACGCAGGCGTAGAAACCATGAGTCATAATTCTATTATTGATATTAAAACAAAATTATCCCTCACTTTTACGCAGCCTCAATCCATTTCGAACCGCTCTAATTTATCTCCCATAACCGAATTCCATTTATTCTAGTTCAAAATAACAGTAACTGCTAATATTCACATCTTTTGTTTTAAGCGAGAAAATTAATATCAGACTTAATATATATAATTATTTTAAAATGTTTCTTTGATTTAAATGAAATAAAAAGTTAATATGTAGAGACATTAGGATTTTTTGGTAGCAAGAGAGATTGAAAAATGACCAACGCCTTCACCGCGAATCAAACCACGGACCTCTGGAATACGCGCCCAGGGTGCAGACGACCACACCACGAAGGCATGCTAGGAAGGCGGGAGAAATATCTTATAAATATACATTACAAA